ATGGAATCCAAGTGATGTCTCCATTAAAACTGATTCTCATAGTGTATTTAGTTGGTTAAGTTCTGAATTGACTCGTGACAAACCTGTGAAATGTGCTGGGCAATGCGAAATGTTAATTCGACGAAGACTTCAAATATTTGAAAAATTGGTCGAGGATTATGTCATAAATGTAACTGTTACATGGGTACCAACAACTAAAAAAATTGCAGATGAACTCACAAGAGTGCCAACAAAATGGATAAAAAACAAAGTTGCAACACAAGAATGTAATACCATTTATAAGTACGATAAACAGCAGATTCGAAAAATTCATTCACTAGCACACATGGGAGTTTTCCAAGAGTATGGAGTTATGTATGCGCGCTGATATCCACGTTACCAGAGACACAGTGAAACAGGTTGTCGCTGAATGCGATGAATGTAACTCGATCGACCCTAATGTATCATCGGATGGTAAAAAGGAAAAATGCAAGAGTAAAATGTGGTATTCCCATGTCTGTATTTTTAATCAATAACGTTCCATCAAAACACGGCACACCTTTTAAAATATTTTGCCAACATCACAAAGGAGTTCGAATTCCTGGAATCGATAAAATCGAATCAACACAAAAGTCGATAGCAGAGTGTCGTGAATGGAAAGTTGGCGACAAAGTGTGGGTGAAACCCAAGCACATAACGCCGTGTACGCAACGATGGCTGAAAGGAAGTATAGTGGCATTGCATAATGGTTCAACAGCTGAAGTTGATGTCAACGGACATACGTTACCACGACATTTTTCTCATCTGCAACATCGTCGTGTAGACATAAAAGAAGAAGATACAACAGATGATTATGATTCAACACTATTTAAACTTCCCGAAACGAGCTCTAAACATATTTGTCAATGTTGATCCAAATCTTCAAATAATTCAATAATTCAACCCAATATTGTCAATGATGATCCAAATCTTCAAATAATTCCTCCGGATAATGGTAAAAATGATGGTGAGACAGAGTCACAGCCTGTTCAATTCACTCGCTATGGAAGGAGAGTACTTCCTAATCGGAAGTACAATGATTACGTATGAGCTCTTGTTGAGCTAAGGGGGTTGTTGTGTGTCATTAATAATTAGCGAGCTAATTATTGACAAAAGTCACAAGTTGTGATTTTCCGTTTCACATGATAGAGACGAAAATGTTTATCCTCGAAAATATCACCGAAATATTTCACAACCGAAAATTTTAGAACCGAAAAGTATACTTTCATTGCAGGATCGAATTACAAAATCCTTTCTTTTTTTAATCTATTTTTTTTTTTTTTTTAGTTAGTCGTTTTACAATAAAATAAACAGTTAAAATTTCTTTAAAATACATATATATATATATATATATATATATATATATATATATATATATATATATATATATATATATATATATATATATATATATATATATATATATATATATATATATATATATATATATATATATATATATATATACACACACACAATGTTTGATAACTGTAACTTTCGGTTGTAAACCATTTTAATGAAATTCGGTTTTAAAATCATTAATGACTTTCGATCGAAAATTCGATCGAAATTTTTTTAGTTCTAAAATCATTAATGACTTTGGATTGAAATTTTTTCGGTTCTAATTTTTTTCGTAAATATTTTCGGTTGTGTAATAAATTTCTCATATTCGGTTCTAAATTGAAATTAGGGATTCGGTTGAATCATAGGACGCCTTCTAGGCCAGATGTCAATCGTAAATAGTTTTGAAATAATTTCAATAATTGCTAAAACTTCTTTCACCTGTAGCTACATTTATTTGTAATCTAAGAAACAATCTTAATGTTTTTTCTGTTTGGTATGATTCTTATAGTTCCCATTCTCCTAAAATATTTGACAATTCCAGATGGCATATTTCATCATAGCTATAAGAAAGATATAGTTTGGAAGCGAACAATAGCGCATTGTTTTAACTCTTTCATACTGTTTTTTCTCGTTTCCGGACTTCCGAACATGCACAGAAAGATTGTTGCTGTTACTCTATCAAGTTGTTTTTATTTGTTAATATATGTGCAATATTTGGTTGTTCAACTTCTAGAAGACACGAATTAATTCTTTCAACCTATGTATTTGCGAACTCTACTTTACCGAAGATCAATTTTGGGCATATTCTTCACGAAAAACTTTTAAGGACGGATAATATTTTTCATCCATGTTTAAATAAGATGATTAAATGTTAAATAAATGTTAATTAATATCTGCCTTTAGTATCACTATTTGTCACTAAAAAGTGTTTCAATATTCATTGAAAAATAAATACCCCCAAAATGCAGTTAAAACCTTACCATAGTACGCCCTAAGAAATACACCTTAGTTAAAAAGTAATTTACTTTGAAAAGTAATTTCGATTTTACTTACTCGTGAAACTTACAATGAAAAGTAATTTTGAATAAACCCCTTAAAAAATTATTTTCTAAAGTAAAGCATTAATAAAGTTATTACATGTTCCAAATAAAAGTATACTAAATGTTAAGAAGATCTATCATAAAAAATGGCACTCTGTTGCTATGGCAACGCGGTTACTAAGGGAAAATGTTAAATTAATCTCTTCACCCTGGCAAAGATTGCAGTCAATTAGAATGATACTTTGAGCTGATTTTTTTCTAACTTATAGTTAAAAGATAGATCTATGCAATAAGCAGACAGTTTTTGAAAATAACTTTTCTGTCAGGTAGTAGGCCTGTTTAATTTTGGCAAAAATTTTAAGCACAAAAATGATAGATGTTTTTTTTAATTTCTTTAGTTTAAAAAACATTTTTAAAAAGTTGTCTGCTCATTGCATACATCTTTATAAGAGGAATACTCCCTGAAAATTTCATTAAAATCGGTCAAGCGGTTCTCAAGATACTTCTGCCGGGTTCTGAGACCTGAGAACTGAGAAACTGAGTTCTGAGAACACGCGTTCTGAGAAAAATGCCAAATAAGTTGAAATTGTGATGAAAAATATTATATAATAACAAAGATACAAAAAATATAATATAAAAAGAGCATACTGATTGTATTTTTTAATCATGAACACTAGCCCCATACAATTTCCCTTTTTTCTGTTCAACTTTGTCAAATTTTTTAAGCTTGCGGCTTCTTAAAATCTTCCTTTTTTTTTTGATGGTGTCTTGATTTTTATACTCTGACATCATAACTCTTTTCTGGTTCAGGTAATTACATCCAGAAATGGTATGTTGCCCTGGTATCATATTAAGTCTTTCAAATATAAGTATACTAGACTTTAATCCTATATTAAAGGCACCAATAGCATCATAGAGTCCAAATTTCAATTGTATCATTGCATTAAAACTTTCATTTTGATTCTGTGTTCTCCCATGAAGCAAACGATTTAAACAAGCATCTGATGTTAGTTCTACATAAATGGGCTTTAACTTGTGTACTATTTCAATAGGAAGACCTGGTCCGGGTTTATACTCTTTGGTTCCATTAGCTTTATCTCGATTGTATTTACACCAACTATCTTTTCCTGTGGGACAATGCCAATTATTTTTGCTTGAAGATGCTACGTGAAACAAGCTAGTCAAAGCTGAAGATCTCATACCTTCAAGGTTGCCACAATTTTGCCTAATGCAAATACCAAAATAATTTTGCAACCGATCAATTGTAGCGTTTGTTAAACTGCCTTTACCATTTAAACCCTTGACTTGCTTTTTTAATTGTCTACAACGAGATCCAATGCGCTTTTGAAAATGTCCAATACAATCTAGTTTAATTACTTCAATACCCTTGTATGTGTTTTTGACAGAAATGTAGCTTTTGCTCACCATCACCCAAGTATTCTGTGTATCGTAAATTAAATTTTTGCAAAGAGCGATTAAATATCTTTATTGCCCCAACTGTTTCCATTTCACCGGCTGATCCTTCATAGTTTTTATTGCAAATATGTTTTTTTTTGCTGTTAGCTGCTGCTTTGAATTACCAACATCTTGATTTTTGTCACATATTTTACACTTTCTAGATAATGCTTCAACATCTAAAACCTTCCCATTTTTAATCGATAATGCTGCCGTCACCCCATCGTGTGAATTAAATCCTCTTTTTTGCCATGTTTCATCAACAGAAACTCTAATATCTAAGATCTCATTAGGAGATTTGCCTTCTCTGAGTTCTTGTACAGCTTCATTCATAGTTTCACTAGCATATGTCTATTGAAATGGAATTAACGAACACAGTAGGTTTTTCGTGTCACATTATAAGTATTTTTAATAAAAAATTTCAGTTTTTAAGATTTAACTAATATTTTTTACAAAACACGCATAAAACTATTTAACTCTAGTATGAGTTGCGGTCAAATGTGAATTTTCTAGCAGCTGTTTTATCATGATTTAAATGAGGTTTAAAATGCTGGTGTAAGTTTTACAATTTGGTGAGAAATAAATCAAAAGCTCATTTTCGAGCCTGTTTACACTGAAAGTTTTTGTTTTTATCTGTGACTTAACAAGCTTAGGGTGGATGGGAAAATTTTCCAAAAAATAATTATACCTCCCCCTCCCCACCCCCTTCCCCGCCTTTATACTCGAGAGTAGAACTTTATTTTGCCGGGCAACTTTATTCCTATTATAAGTTTTTTAAATAAATTGTTTAAATTATCACTGTAAAAATGAAAACAACTTTTAACTGATTTCTTAATTTTATTTGTTTTTTTTTAAAAAAAAAAAAAGCTGTTCCAATTAAAGAATCAAAGTATTCCAATTTAAAAAACCAGTTGCATTGAATGGTAAAAAACCGCAAATATTCATATATATCGAAGTTAAATGCTAGTATTTAAAAAAAAATTAAATATACGCATAAATTTATAATATATAATCTATTATAAATTTTTTTCTATCCCGGCTATCAACCCCTGCCAAATCTTAAAATATTGCCGGTGCCAGATTGGTATAAAGCTACATATTAAATCGGGGCGGGACCACGGTCACTTACTAATTATGACAACGTTAAACGAATAAAACCCGAAACACAAGGTTATGTTAATTTAAGACTAGTCTTGGATTGAATATTTAAAACGGCTTGAACTTTCTCTGTTGTCTCAACATTGCTATCCGCTTTTTATCTTCTTCAAATTTTCTACGCAACTCAGCTATCTCTGAAATAAGATATAACGTGTGTGTATATATATATATATATATATATATATATATATATATATATATATATATATATATATATATATATACATATATATATATATATAAACTTAATAAAGAAAAAAATGAATAAGCCCTCCCCCGCTTTTTTCTATAGAAGTTAACAATTTTACAATAAGTTATAAAATATCGAACATTCATCGTAACTCAAAACAAAGATTTTAAAGATCATTTTTAAGCATTTGGGTTAAAAGATTTGCAAAATCCCCAATTTTGTCACAAAAAAAAAATTATTCAAAAGTATGTCAACTTGAGTCTCAAAAAAAGCTTATTTTCATAAATATTTTAAAAATAATATTCGTTTGAAATAAAAATAAGTACTTTTTATATTATTGCTGAGAAACATTTTAATAATAATAATAATTTGTAATAACATTTTTTTAAAGAGTCTTTAGCATTTTTCACATAATTTTTTTGTCAATAAATTTTAAGGAAAAATATTTGTTTTCTAAAGTCTCTATGAAAATACGCTCCTTTTGAAACCTAGGTTGATATACTTTTGAATAATTTTTTTTTTTTGACAATATTAGGGGTTTTACCCCAAATACTAAAGATTTGAACCCAAATATTTGTAAAACTTGACGTAGTAAAAATGAGTTGCATATTTGAAATCAAAATTGAGAAATGCTATAGAAAAAACATTGTTCGGAACCAGAAAAAAATATTTTTTTTTGTTGACCTGTGTTATTGAAATAAAATGATTGTAGAATTTTACTTTAATTATAGAATCTAAGTATGGAATGTAAACTGTTTGTCTAAAGAACTCTTTAACACTTATGGTTCCCAGATTACTTCGATGCTTTTGTCTTCAGCACTTTCTTGGAAATATCAATTCAATATTCATCTTCTGTGCCAGTTGTACTATTTTCTCAAAAATATCCCTGAAATAAATATTGGAAGTTTTACAACTCTGAGTAATTTTTTTGAACTTGCAGTTAAAACTTAGTATGGCTAAGTACTGGGGAATAATATGGAGACAAAATACGAATGTACTGGACTTTGATGAACAATAAAGCTGATGTGCAACTTGTCGTGTACTCCCATTTGATTGATGTGCAACTTGTCGTGTACTTCCCTTTGCCAGTTAAAAAAAATATTTTCAAATTTACTACAAAAAATTCGAATACTTTTATACTTGCTTTTCCATCTTGTCTCGCATAGAAGAGGAATATTTGGAACAGAAGATCTCCGTTTTGGGCTTGCATGAAAAAAATTAAATAATTGCTTTAAATAGTTCCAAAAGTATTCTGTATCACTACAACATCATTTAGATTATAAACTACAAGATTGAGTCTATGTGAGGCACAGTGAACAAAAACGTTTTTAGGGAATATCTTTTGAATTTTTTCCTAAACACTGTTTTCTTTTCCAACGATTGTGAAGCAACTATCATAACCTTGACATAGCAGATTATTAAGGATAAGGACAAATGTTTTGCAATTTTGAATAATACAATTAGATATCGTGACAGCGTCCATGTCGTTTAGCGATGAAAATCAAAAAAAAATTTCTCACGAAACACAGCCTTCTCATAGATTGTAAGGGGTAAAAATATTGTATCTGTTGACCAGCCTCGCAATCCTTCTTCATCTATTAGGCTATTATCTATAGGCTGGCGCAGATGTATTTTTAATACATTGTTTCCAGTTTAGGATGTCGAATGCTGGATCTTCTTGATTCAATGCATGGGTTTTGCTTGCGTCTCTGTTTTTATGACTAGGCAACTCATTCTATTATCTCCTAATGAGGGTACAGCTCTAAAACTCAGTTTTATGGTTCTGAGGCCGGCTGGTAGTCAAGTTTCCCGAACTCTGTGGTAGTTCTCAGAGAGGCTGATTCCATCAACAGCTGTAAAATATCAGAGCAATAACAGCGCCATGTTGCACATGGATGATGTCCCTGTTCGCACTTTTGGTATGCATGGTCGCGGCCACACTTGGAGCCCTTTGTTACGACTTAATGTTTATTAATAGTAATAAGGCAATTGCTCGGACTATTAACTAGTGTACTGAGTATTACCTGTGCTTCAAGTCAAGTTCGTTAACAAGTTTAAAAATGACTAAAGTATCAAAAACAATAAAATACAAAAAACCATTGTAATCACCAAGTTCTCTAAACCTATCATTCACTAATATTTGTGGTCTTCGAAGTAACTTTTCTTCTGTTGAGTCTTATCTCTTGCAAAGTTCACTAGACCTACTTGCTCTTTGTGAGACTAATTTAATTTCAGCTGTCTCTTGTGAAGTTAGTGTTAATGGTTATCTTCCTTTAATTCTTAAAGTAAGATAACCATCCCGGCTGGGGCAGTTACATTCCTAAGAACACACCCATTTGTCAGGAAACTAGGTTTGAGTCCACAGACTATTCTTTTATGTGCTTTTGTTTAGTGCCACTTCACTCTATCATGCTTCTCTATGTTCTATATCGCTCTCCTTAATCTCAAAACTGGATTCTTTTCGTTGTTATTTTTGATGAAATTGACAGAGCCCTTTCTCTTTATTCTTCAGCCAATATCATTGTTGTTGGTGACTTTTATGCTCATCACAATGAAAAGAATGGCTCTAGCGTCAGTGACTCTGTAAGCGTTAATTTCCCACAATGTTTGCCTTTCTCAATCTTTAATTAAATTGTTAACTTTCCAACTTATTTTTCCGGACAATTGAAATCATTTACCTTCTCTACTTGACTTAAGACTTGTTTTTGATCCTAGTCAGTGCTCAGTTTCTCCATATAGTTACCCTTAGGTGCTTCTGATTACAGTTTGATCTCTCAAAAACTATTATCTCATTCTCTTTCATCATCAGAATCCCTTTATCATCCTGCATTTTACAACTACCTTAAAGCTGAGTGGGACTCTTTCCGTGATTTTCTTCGTGATGGTCTTTGGGTAGAAATCTTTTGTCTTCCTGCTGACAAATGCTTCTTACATAACTTCTTCGATTTAGACTGGCATGGAATCTTTTATTCCCTCTCGACAATTCCAGGTCAAACCTCACTCTTCTCCATAGCTTCTTCATAACTTTAAATATACAAGAAAACAGATGTACTTTTGGTAGAAACCATTGTAAAAACGTTTTGTCGAACATCAAAGTCCACTATTCCCAGGTCAGTAAACCTCATATTTTATCTCAAAAATTAGGCTCTTGTGACTTCTGGATAATATTTAAAAGTATCTATAATAAAGGCAAATTTGTTGTTCCACCACTCTTGTATGGTTCAGATTTTGTCACCTCACCTAAAGATTAAGCTTAATTGCTAAGAACTTTTCATCAATATTATCACTTGATTCCACAAACAGGTTGATTAACTGCTTGACATTCGTTTTACTCTAGCTCCTGTATCTAAAGTGATTTCCTGCTTAGACTCTTCTATAGCTTGTGAATCAGACAACATACCTGTTATAGTTCTTTGGAGCTATCAGAGTCTTATTTTCCAGCCTCCTGGAAAGCGGCATCTGTTATCCCTAATTTCAAAAATTCTGGAGAGATTTGATCTGACTCACTTAACTACTGTCCCATTAGTCTTTTTCCTATCATGAGCAGGGTTTTTGAGTCTTTAATTAACAAACACTTAAGCTCTCATCTTAAATCTGATAACTTACTTTCTGATCATCAATATGGATTTTGATTTTTTCATTCTACAGCTGATTTGCTGACAGTAAAAACCAATAGGTTTTATCATGCATTAGATAGATGTGGAGAGGTTAAGGCTATTGCTCTTGACATTTCTAAAATTTTTGATAAAGTTTGGCATGCTGATCTACTCCATAAGCTTTCTTTTTACGGTGTATCAGGTAACATCTTTATGATTATTGAATCCTTCCTTTCCAATCGTAGTGTAAAGGTTGTCCTCTCTGATTGCTTGGAGGGAGCATTTGAGCTTGAAAAGGATCTCACTTCTGCTACATCACAGGCTCTCAGTGGATAGTGAACTTTAACTCAGATAAAACTCAATTTTTTTCAGCTAATTGTATTGCAATAATCTAGATCTTCCTATATTTATGAACGGTAATGTACTTGATGAATTATCTACCCTTTATCTTCTAGGATTAACTCTTACTTACGATCTTTCTTAGAAATCATATATCAAATCGATTGCAAAATTAACATCTGCTAAGGTTGCATCTCTTTATCGTGCTCAATATTTTTTTCCTTTAGATTCTATTCTTTTTCTTTATAAATCTCAAATTCATCCTTGTATGGAATATTGTTGCCATTTTTAGGGTGGATCTTCCAATGATGTCCTTTCTCTTTTAGACATTGTGTAAAAACTCATTGTAAACATAGTTGGACCTGCTCTTGCAGCAATCTCCAACCATTATCACATCGTTGTAATGTTGCTTCTCTTTCTTTTTTCTGCTAATACTATAATGGGCACTGCTCTAAAAAGCTAGCATCTCTTGTGCTATCTACTAAAATTCATTCTCGTGTTACTAAATTAAGTCTCATCCTTTTACTGTGACTGTTTCTAAGTGCTCTAAAAATTCTTATTCTTCCAGTTTTATTCCTTGAACATCATTCTTTGCATTTCACTCCCTTCATCTTATTTTCCTGATTCATACAATTTGCAATGTTTTAAGTCATCTGTCAATATTATTTTGATCTATAAACTTCATCTTTTCTCTTCCAGTACCTTCCAACTCTAGTAGTGGTTGCTTGTAGCCTTGTTGAAAGCAAGGATGTTGAAGGAAAAAAAAAAAAAAAAATCAACAAACCACATTTTCAATGATAACTGTTCAGTTCCAGAAATATCTGCTGCTTGATCAACTATGATCAGAAATCCAACAGCATCGTTAGCAGGTTTTACAATGTCTTCTCGTAGAGCTTGTTTAGACAAGTTGATTAAATCATTCTGTGTTTGGTATGATGTGTAACATGCATTTTAAGCAGCTGTATATCAAAATAGTTTATCAAAATACTGTCTCCTTCCTCAATCCTATACTCATAACTGTTGTTGGACAACTTTATGAGTATAGGATTGATTTCCTTTATTACTATTTTTCCCATGCAATGCCAAATCATTCAACAACTAGTTTTAATGAATTATCTTCTTGACATAAAATATTTTTATTTAGATCTTGTATTGTTGATGCAAAGTGTTCATCTTGTTGAGCTCTACAATGTTATGCTGAGCTGATATAGTTTTTGGCACATTCATTGAAAAGCTTATACTTTGTGAAAGGATTAGTAATGAAGACACCTTGAATTCCTGGTTGAACTGGTTGTGGAAATAAAACACAAAATATGCAAAAAGCGCCTTTTAATTTAGGTGAATATGACCATTAAGTATACTGAAATAGCCGAGAACTCGTGAAATAATATTTTCCAATTCTAGACATGACGCCTTTAAAATCGTAGGACGAATGAGGCTGGTATGGATCAGTTAGCAAGCATTACTTAAGCGTTATTAGGTATTTTTGTAGTACATTTTTTCATAGAATCTAATGTCATATTCTAATCTAGAATCTCCACTTTCAAGTTTTTCAGATTCTGGTTCAAGTATTGGCAATAATGATAAACAAGCAACATCATCTGTTTTAAAAATTTCCGAATACCCATGACACCTAAAATTAAAAAAGAATTATTTACATATTTTCATTTTTTTTAATGTGAAGATAAAAAACTTTGAAAAAAGTCAAAAAATTGAGGAGCGCATTTCTAAAAAATTCCATTTTTTCTAAAATTGAGTTTTTTAACATTTGGATTCTTTGGTAAAAATCTAACTATGTTAGTAAGAATAAAAAAATTGTACTTCATTTTTATTTATGATTACAAAAAACTTCGCCTATAAAAATAACTTTTATTTTTATCTTTTACAAAACAAAAAAAATTAGATTTAGCTCCTTTTAGAAAAACGCTAAATTCTGAAAATTAAAAGTGAAATAAAAATATATTTTTATTATAATAATTTTTTAAGAATTCTTTTCCATTTTAGAAAAAAACACACAATTAAAGTAAACAACTAATTACACGATCAACATACCGTTTTAGTGAAGTCAAATTGTAAAATTGTTCAAATATCAATCTCATAATCACCTGCATAAAAAAAAAAATCTTCTGTGCAATGTCCGTAAGATATCAGTTCCACAATGCCTTTTGCTACTGAAAAAATTGATTTTCAGAATACAAAATTTATGCAACTATTTCTAGTATGTTGTTAATAGTTTAAAAAAACCCTCGCGCACTGAGTACCATCAAAGTTTTTTTTTAAATAAATTTTTTTTTAAGGTTTTTTATAACACAAATTTGGTTTTCAAAAAATTATTACTCATATAATGGTAAATGTTAAGTTATTACCTACCAAAATAAACCGCTAGAAAAATAAAAATTTGAAAATTTGAAATTTCTATATCAAAAATCTTCAAATTATTTGTACTTTAACTGTATTGAAACAGTTTTGACGTCTTGAGCATAATTGTTCTTCTCTTATTATATATATTTTACCGAAACCATACAAATAAGTAATCAATTACTTTTATTAATTATTTCCGAAAAAAACTTCACTTAATTTTTTTTGAAATCGTAACGAAACATTACTAAAAGATATTTTTTACCAAAACCATACTGCCACAGTATCAATAAATTTAGTAACAAATTTTATGGAGATCGGTAACAAACAAGAAATGTCTTTCTATATTTAGAAAATGCAGGGGATGAGGGGAGGGGAGGGGAGCAAGTACCTCTCTTACCCTCTTTGCAGGCGCTCATGCACACTATGCCAAATTTTCAGGCCTGGTATTATACAAATATTTTAATTCCTCAACATTAAAACCTATTAATACTACAAATTATTGAACAAAGGCATCATCACAAAGATTTCTGAACAAAGTAAACTGGATGATAAAAGAAGAATGTAAACTAGATAGGAGATTATTGTTGATAAACCACTGTTTTTTAGTAAAATTTTAACTTCTATAAAAATTGTAGAGCACTGTAGAAACATTCACTATTAAACACTGAAAACTATTTTTATATTTAATGCATATCAAGATATTAAAAAAATTTTAAATTTAATATTTTATTTATATTTTTATTAGTCAGTACTTTCCCTCCCCAGTACATCAATCTTTCCAAACATTAAATAACAAGTAAAGTTGAAAATTCACTTACGGTCACGCTTGATTTCTCTTTGTTGAAACACATAAAAGTTCATGAGCTCCTAAAAGATTAAAATAAACAATTAAAACTACAAAAAAAATTAAATTGAAACAAACCTAGGAAGCTTTATTTCTCTATAATTCTTTTTCATTTCACCTTTTCTATTCTTTCCTTTTTCTCTTTCTTTTTCATTTTTCTAGTTATTTTTGGCTTTTCAGTGGAGGCAGATTTTTTCACAGGTATAGTCGTCCAACCTTCATCATTAGGTTCATTATTATCTTTTTTCTGTAAAAAAAAAATGATGAATCAGTACAATTAATCTATGTAATCTATATTATTTAAGTAAACTTTTTTAATTCTATTTATGTAATCAATTATATATATATATATATATATATATATATATATATATATATATATATATATATATATATATATATATATATATATATATATATATATATATATATATATATATATGTATATATATATATGTAGATATATATATGTATATATATATGTATATATATATATATATATATATATATATATATATATATATATATATATATATATATATATATATATATATATATATATATATATATATATATATAGAATTATTTTAGCAATTTTAGCTTTATCACGATGATTAAGATGCCGATTAAATATTTTAAGGGCAGCAACAGCAACACCATTGTCAATTTTTTTTATTAAGTCACATTTCTTTGTAGAATTTTAAGTCAAATGATGCAACAATTGTGTTTGTACATGTAAGCAACATTTTTACATAAAATAGCATTGTATATTAACAAAACCGTGATAATCTCTTTATATAACTTTCTTCATACTCTGCCAATTCAGTAAATGCAAACATTTTTGATGTATACAAAATTGTACACATCCATCTAGCATGGTGGAAAGCCCCAGGTTTGCACCACTGTACATTTATTTGTTTTGCATTCAGTAATTGCAAAGCAAGTTGGCAACATTCTTGATAATCATCTCCTAAAATTTTTCGAGACTTACAGTTAAGTAAACCAGTAAATAAAAAAATTTTCACTTACGCTTGTTTGATCTTTAATACTGGTTCCTCAATTTTGATTTTTCTAAAAGTGGTATCTAAACTTAATGAAAGTTTAGGCCATACATGTTTTTAAAGTGTCTAAATAACTCATAATTTGGAGATCAACATTCTTCAAAAATCGTTAAATAAACAGATGACAAAACTCTTTCTAAGATATGGTGTCTGCAGCCACACCAAAGTAACTTTTTATTAAAGTGTTCCTTGATTAACTTTGTAGAACCATTTATCCATTCTGAATGTCATCGGAAACTTACTGTCCAATTTTATTACCTGATCTGCTTGCAATGATTTTTGAGATATTTCATCCAAATTGTGACCTAATGCTTCAACTACAGCTAAAATGATCCCAGATCTTTCTCTGTTGGATAGATTCAACCTATCAGCCATTAAAGAAACTTTAGGGTCTTCCAATATCCTAATTTTTTTTGACTACTAATAGCAATTTCTTCCGTCTTATTGGAACTTTTTTTTTATTAATTTATTCTGGCAGTACGGTACATCTATCTTTTTTTATATTTTCTTTACTTCTTTTCTCTTTTTCAATAGCTTTTATTTTCTGTGATTCTTTTTGCTGCTTTCTTTTTACTTTCATAATATAACTCTTTTAAACTTTAAAATATTTCAAAAACCTTATTTTTGCATTTAATGGACAAAATGACACATATAAACCGCCTGAAAAAAAAGTTTTTTTTTGGACACCCTAGGTCACAATTATATTAAATAGATATATTGGCAAATATGACATTTTGCAGGAGAAGAGTTTGAAAATTTGATTTGTCGCCATCGGGTATGAAAAATAAATAACTTTTTATAAAAAAAAATTATTATTTTTAAAAACTACAGCAATCATAGTTTGACCAAATGAAAGATCTAACAAAATATAACAAAACTGCATACTTTTCTTAAAATAACAAAATTTGCACAATTGACCAATAGCCACAAATATATATATTTTTCTTTGCTATTTAAACATGTAATTTTATTAGGGTTTTAGCATATATTTTATTCAAAAATAGAAAAGTTAACAATCTAGAATTTTATGTAAAGTGGTTATGTAATCATAAAATTTCCGGAAATTTTTAGGAAAATTTCCAGAAATTTTCTGGAAGTTTTGCAAATTTTCAAAAAAAGATAAGTTAATTTATAATTAATGGGTAAAATTTTATGTATTAGTTAGGCAGTTGTTATGGACAATTTTATGGTAAAATATTGTGAAGTAGCCCCCTTTAAAAAAACACTTTTTTTGGTTTTTTTTTTGAGTTTTTTTATTATAACTATAAGTAGCAACTATGATCTTTTGTTTTCAAATTTTCTAAAACAGTTTTATCCTGTTATTTGCTATGCATATTGATGTTGATTGCCGTATTTGTCAATATCTATTAAATTGACCGACAAATTACTGAAAACTGTAAAATTATATATAAAAAGATTTTATATAAATATTTGCAGTATTTTCCAATTTTTTCTTGATTTAAAGATGTTATTAATTAATGAAAGGCAGAAAGTAATAAATTTTTTTTTTAAATTCAAACTATTTAAAAATAGGGTTAGCAATAAAAATAAAGAACTAATGATTTTGAGATTGAAATTTTCAACCCTAAATTTTATGATTACATAATCACTTTACATAAAATTCTAGATTGTTAACTTTTCTATTTTTGAATAAAATATATGCTAAAATTCAATTACTGATGAAAATTTTATTAACATTTAACTCCAAGTGGAGTTAAATGTTAATAATTTTATAGTAAAATTATTAACATTTAACTCCACCTTCAACCAATCTTCAAAGCCAATTAATATACATTCTCTCAGCCTTTTCTTCTTCTTCCTTGTAAAGCTTAAAAGTATGGGAGAGGAGGAATATTTTTGGACGATAAATGGTTTTCAACATCAATCTTGCATAATGGTAAGAGTTGGCATACCAAATACGGAGATCTTTTTTGAAATGTCCACAAAATATATATATATAAGCTCCACCAGTTCTCGATAGTCCTTACAAGGAAATGTTTCTCTCAAAGTTTATATAAAAAATTTATAAAAATAAAAATTTACAACAACAGCAAGATTTTGATTATTTTTTTCTTTATTTTTTTCTATTACTGATTAATGCAGAATGCAGTGCAGAATGTTCAAAAATTGACAATAAATTGGTTATAATAAATTGAAAATAATTTTTCAATGATAAAATTTAAAGCATTCAAAATGATCAACAAAAAAGTAGCAGATTGAAAAAAGAAAGATTTTAAAAATAATGATGAAGAAACGATTCATAATTGAGTAGAAAACCGTTTTTAACAATCTTATTTAAAGATGAAATTAGATGACAGCTTAGGAGGGAGAGCGGTTCAGGTATATGTGATCATTTGTGACAGGAGGAAAGGGGTTAAAAATTGCAAGATAACAAAATATCTTTGCAAAACTTTTCATAAATAAGATATAGAGTTAATGAAGCAGTCTATGTAACCTGTGTTTTAATTTACTGTAAAACATCTAATTTATATGTAAAAACATGTTAACATTTATGTGCCACCACACACAGTGTTAAATTTAATTTATAAGTTTATAAACCTTTGCTTTTCACCTGGAGTGGGTGTAACTGTCAAATCTGTTGCCAAAAAATCCACAAGTTCTTAACCATAGGATCTTATCGTAAAACAAATCGTTTGTAAATGCTTTATGGTAAAGTATTAAAGTTGAAATAATAAAAATACTGGCAATATATACATAATCATAAATGATTATGTATATATTGCCAGTATTTAATGTCAAAACTAACTATATTGCGAATGTCAAAACTAATTATATTGTGAATGTCAAAACTAATTAAAATACACATGTGTATTTAATTAGGCTTGTGGGTTAGACATTAGGCAAATAATTGACATATTTTTAATGAAAAACTTTCAGTTTATAAAGTGAATTTCAACAGAAGTATCTTGGAATCAATGTAAATTACAAATTTTATTTGAAAATTTATTTTAAACTTTATTTGAAAAATAAAACCTAAAATAATAATTTACTTCACAACTAAAAGTTTGTTATCATTTTAAATAATTATTCTCAAATATAAAACATTTGTAAATTTTATGATTTGAATTTAAAAGACATTGCAAATGAAAGAAATGATTTTTTGCCAGTTTTTCAGTCAATGGTTGCTCAATCAAGACCCGATATCAATGTGATATCAGAATGATATCAAAACCTTCTCAAGCTATAATATCAAATAATGATATCATAACTTTGTAAATAAACTTAATTTATATTAGAATTTCATATATTAGTTATAAAGCACAGTAATGAATGGTGAGCTTATAAAAATTTATGTATAAAAATACAGTAATGAATGGTGAGCTTATAAAAACTATATTTAACTTATACGCAAGACTTTAAAAAAATTCTTACTCTATCTTTTTGTGATACACTGTCTTTTTATTTTTATTAAATTCTACTTGATTATGTACTTTAGTGATGGAATATTTGCACCCGGCACATAATTTAGTTTATTAGAAATAATAAATAATATAATATTATTATTTCTAATAAACTAAATTTTATTTAAACACATTTTATTTAAACAAATGAAAAGTAATGAATCATTTTGATAAAATATTGAACGTTTAACTTTTTTGAAACTTAAAAAAGTTACAATGCAGAATATTTTTTTAGTATGATATGTTATTTGAGGCCCTATATATTCTCAAATCATGAAAACTTGTAATCATGGAAATTATTAGCTAAATTTCTGATTCATTTTTAGGCAATCAAACATTTTAACAATTTTTATTTAAATAAAAATTGTTAAAATATTTGGCAATGCTTGTATTTAGGTTGCAAAATTCATATGACAAAAAATATAAGAACAGCTTGTGCAATAAATAATTTGACAACACTCCAAAAGCACTTCAATCACTTCTTTAATTCAAACCTAAAGAACTCTACGCCAACAGCATTCATTCTTTGCTTAAGGATTGGCAAGAGGTCAAAGACAATGAAGGTTGTCTTTGACCTCTTGCCGAAACATATATTGTTAAAGATTAGTTATGGAATTTAACCTTTTTAATATTTACTCAAAATTTAATTTATTCTTAATATATTCTAAAAAAACTATTTCCTACACTTCAGTCAACAAAAAAAAACTTTGCTTTTTTCATAATCTTTAAGACTAAATCTCATTAACTCAGAGTTTACTGTTGGCATTTTTTTGTAGTTTCTAGGCTTTTCTACATGCATTTTTTGAAATTCACATGGTCTTTTAAGCAAGGTCTGCAAGCAAATCATCCGGATAATTCATAGCTTTTAAGGAAAATTGATGTTGTTCTGTGTTTAATTTAATTTGTTTAATTAGCAATTTTAGTAAATAAATGTTTGTTTGTTGTTAGTTGTTTTGCTTTTTTAATTCTTTAGACTGTTTACATTCTTTTTTTAGAAGAAGTTTGTACTAAAATGACTGGGAAAGTTGCTTTTTTTAGTGCAATATTTCTTTTTGAGTCTTAAGCAGGTTTTATTTTATTTTTTAGAACAATCAGAATGAGTTGAAACCCTTTTAAATGAGTCCAACTCATTTAATAATTATTAACTTTTTTTTTTTTGTTTTGCTTAAAATTAGAAGGATTATTAAGAATAATTTTTTTTTTAAGACAAACAAACATTTGAATAAGTTTTATCATTTATTATGGTGCTCTTTGTTTAATTTAATTTGTTTAATTAATACTTTTTATAAATAAACATTTTTTTTTGGTTGTTAACTTGATCTGTTTAGATTCTTAAGAACTAAGCAACTAGCTAAGCAAGTTTTATTTTTTATAATCATGGGAAAGAAGTACTTTTAAATTACTTTTATTCACTTTATTGTTATTTTTTGCTATTAGGAGAGTTGATAAGAATAAAATTATTTAGATGGTCAAATGTTGAGTAATTTTTTTGTTTGAAGTTTGAATTTTATTTAAGTGTTTAACATGAAAAACTAAGTAAAGACTGTTATTTGTTGACATACATAAATTGTTGACATACATAAATGTGCATACATTTCAGTATACTTTATATTACTCTGTATCTCTGTATTTTCAAAAAACAAACAAAAAAAATAATTATATAGAGCTATGATAAACTTGGTTTCTATGAAAGGTAATGAACAACCAGTTTAGAATCCAATAATAAGTGTTTAGGTTTGCCTTTTTTTTTCTTATAATCCCCTATAATTTTAGTAATACCTCTAGTTTTTAATAAAAATAGTAAAAATAAAATAAATTGGACTGCAAAAACTGGGCTGCAACTGAACAAATTGTATAGCTTTTGAATATTTCCTAAATAGAATTTTGCAGAAGTCGATGATTCAATGTACTGCACATAAGTTCAAACTGCGAGCAGAGCTTTGAAATGAAAATTGCTTGATGATTATTTATGTTATCAGCTAAATTTTTTACCATTACAATAATTTTTTTCAAGGCAAATGTGATGCCCCATAGACTGTGACGCCCGGGGCAAACTAATTCAATTGCCCCTCCCTCTTGGCGGCCCTGAATAACATTATTAAATATTGTTTTATATTTTTGATAAACATCTTAGTTCTTTTCATAATCAATTTGTATTTTTTTTCTTCATACTAATTTGTAACTATTTGTAACTAACATAAACAGTTATATATACATATATATATATATATATATATATATATATATATATATATATATATATATATATATATATATATATATATACATATATATATATATATATATATATATATATATATATATATATATATATATATATATATATATATATATATACATATATATATATATATATATATATATATATATATATATATATATATATATATATATATATATATATATATATATATATATATATATATATATATAGTTTTGATTATTTGAAAAAATACAACTTTGTGATGGAACTTAAAGTTTCATGCCCTTCGGCAATCATCAGCCATATTTTATTCTTTAAATTAAGAAAAAACCGTTAAAAAATACAAAATACAGAAATTACCAGAAAAAAACCAAAGCAATGAAATGAGTTCTGACGTCAAAACAAACAATTTTTTAATTAATTAGAAAATTGCTCAATCACCCGTGTCGAATAGGGCGAGAAGGAACTTGTTTCGATGCCTGTACTTGGATATTATTTCACTTTTTTTGTTTAGTAGATTATTATTTTTGGAAAATAGAATTTCATTTTTTTTTTAGAAAATAGAAATTCATTTACCAGCTGTCAATTGCAGTTGTTTTAATGTGGAATTTTGTTGTTGTTCATAAAATTTCACCTAAAAACAACTGCAATTGCATTAATAAAAATACCTGCCCTTTATCAAACCAATGCTTAACAAAAAACATTGTATACCAAGCCAATATAAGTTCCAATAATCCTACTAACACTCCTGTCAACAAATCCTACATCGGTATAAGTGAAACACCATTCAAAATTAGATATGCCAACCATATAAAATCATTTAACATTCTAAAATCTTAATTAATGAAGAAACTGAAACTCGAAATAATTGAGGTAAAAATAATTTTATTTCTTGTAACCAAATTTAATGGTTAATTGTGCTATAGCTACTTTGTGCTACAGTTGACTCTTGATATCTCGACTACTCGATATCTCAAACTTTATTTCCAGTCCTTTGCGCACTCGTTTGAGCCTAAAATCCTCTCAATATCTCAAACTCTTTTACCGGTCCCCTGAGAGATCAAGATATCAAAAATCAACTGTACTATATTGTCTTTTTCATTGTCAATGACAATAATAAAATTAGTTATGCTCATAGTAAATTGTTGTATGTCTTTTTTCAACACAGTGCTTTTGTATGTATATCTGTCTGTTTCTCTCTTAAATAAAGGTTTACTAATAAAGGAAAGCATTGTTGGATTGCTCTGTTAATTCTAAACTCTCATGTATTTTTGATACCATTATTAATTATGACATTGTATAAGAAATGTATTACGAGTTGCTCACTAATCCATGATTTATGAATCCCAATTTTTGTACAGTTTTTAAAATAGTTTTTTTGAAAAAAATAATTAATAATTGGCAAAAGACAAATCACATTTTTTGATTATAATGATCAAAATTTAATCCGGTAAATAATATGATTACACTGTGTAGAGCTAGGGTGTTAAACTAACTAAATATGACTTGCAGTAGTGTAGCACAATTTTCTTTTTTTTTTAATTAATTACTTTCTAAAAGTCAATTAAAAATATATAAACTAATGCTTTTGTAGTTCAAGATGATTATTTTTTCATCATTTTTTTCTCCAGATACTGACAGGTTGCATTTGGCTTCCCTTCTCTGGTGCCTGCTGTTATAACTGACTACTAAGAACCTAAGAACTTAAGTTATTAGGTTATCTTTTTTTTATCTAAAATCCAAGACATAACTAAAATCGAGCTAAAGTAGAAAAATTATAAATAAATTTGTATTTTATTAAATTTTTCAGACAATGTATCAAGTTAAATTGTTATTAATGAATTATTTACTAATAAACTATATTATGGGTTGTATTATGGGTCGCTTAGTTACTGCTAGTTTAAATATTAATAATAATAATAAAATATTAATATGAATGTTAAATAAATTTTCAAGTTTTTTGTTAAATATAATGTTAAATAAAACCAATTAAATTTTTCATTTAAAAAAGAAATGCTTTAATAAAGCCATCAAGTAAACTGTTTGGTAAAACAGTTTTTACAATATTTTAAAATAAAAAAGTTGATTTGAATAATCTAAAGAGAAGAGTTTATTTAATTTAGTACAAATATTAGGTTTTCTAATTTTTTGATAATTTATTTTATTATTAGACTTACTTTGATATTATTTTGATCAAAGTCTTTCATATATGTATCAATGATTAACTGCATAGTGCTTTCATTTGGATAACGATTTTTATATTCGTGAATCCACTCTAAAACAAAGACAAACTTTAAAAACAAATTTAAAATAAACTTTAAAATAAACTTTAAAAACAAAAATAAAAAAAATTGTATTTTACATTAAATAAGCAACTCAATTCTACTAAACTAATGGAAGCACTGCAACATTTAACTATTTCACTCTTTATTGAGATTATAAATAATATATTATTTTTGAGATAAATATACAGATTTCAATTATTGAGATTATAAATATTATATTATTATTGAGATAAATATACAGATTTCAATTATTGAGATTATAAATATTATATTATTATTATTGAGATAAATATACAGATTTCAATTATTGAGATTATACATACTATATTACTATTGAGATAAATATACAGAATTTAAGATCATAACTATACTATCTACACAATAAAACATAAAATAACATAAATAATAAAAATAGAGGCTAAATTTTGGTCAAATCTCATTCTCACAATGTTCCACATCAGGGAGAAAGAAAATCATCACTCCACATGTCAAAGGATTTCTTGTGCCCCAATTCCAGAAGAATCGGAAAATGACCAGCAAATAGCTGCAAGACATGATAAAACAACATGTCAAGAAAGTTTCTACAAGCTGCATTTATCACTACTTTATCCAGACTGACTTTAATGCCTGCTTACTGCACAAGAAACCATTAATTAATGAGAAGCAGAAGGCTTGTCGTTTAAGTGGGCAGTAAAAAGGAAAAAGATAACTAATTTTTAATGAAGTTGAACTCTTCTAGATATAATTGCTTCTAAAGTTTAAATTGAATATGGTGGAAATGATTATGGTGCAATAGATTATGGTGCAATAGATTATGGTGAGATTGGCCACTTGAGTATTCTTATTTTTTTTATTTAGGTTTGTGTTTTAGGTTGTCTTCAGTAATGAGTCCACATTTTAAGTCCTTGATAACAAGTTCTAGAACATTTGACGACGTTCTAGTGATGTATACTTTCTTGACTGCTTGGTAAAAACTGTAAAGCACCCAACATCAGTGATGGTGTGGTTTATGACTTCAATCCATGGTGTTAGAAGGCTGTACATAGTGGAGAGCACAATGAGTTTTGGGTAATGGATACATAGTGGAGAGCACAATGAGATAACAAATTATCAAAGTGTTACCAGAGCTATTTCTTTGCTTTCCGACAGGTAAAGCAATATTGCAACAAGGCAATGCACCTTGTCACCACAGCCTGTTCTATGAAGCAGCATCTGCAGCATAATAATGTCACAGTGTTAGATTGGCTGGCTTCGTCACTTGACATGAGTCTTATTAAAAAATTTGTGGATGGTTGTTAAGCGCATAATTGCAACCAGAAAACAAACTAAATTTCAACATCTGAAGCATGGTGCCGATCATTTATTAGTACTTATTGAGTTGGATATTGTTGCCATTATTAAGAGTACTTATTAAGATTTTTTTAAAATTTTGACATATAACTGATTTTTTCATCACTCATTTAAGATTAGTAAGATTAAGATTAGATGATTAAGAAAAGTAAACTTTGTTTATTTTGTTTTGATGATTTTTAAGGTTAAGAAGAGTAAACTTTGTTTTGATGATTTTTAAGGTTAAAAAGAGTAAACTTTGTTTTGATGATTTTTAAGGTTAAGAAGAGTAAACTTTGTTTTGATGATTTTTAAGGTTAAGAAGAGTAAACTTTGTTTTGATGATTTTTAAGGTTAAGAAGAGTAAACTTTGTTTTGATGAGTTTTAAGGTTAAGAAGAGTAAACTTTGTTTTGATGATTTTTAAGGTTAAGAAGAGTAAACTTTGTTTAAATAATTTTTAAGGTTAAGAAGAGTAAACTTTGTTTTGATGATTTTTAAGGTTAAGAAGAGTAAACTTTGTTTTGATGATTTTTAAGGTTAAGAAGAGTAAACTTTGTTTTGATGATTTTTAAGGTTAAGAAGAGTAAACTTTGTTTTGATGATTTTTAAGGTTAAGAAGAGTAAACTTTGTTTAAATAATTTTTAAGGTTAAGAAGAGTAAACTTTGTTTTGATGATTTTTAAGGTTAAGAAAGGTAAACTTTGTTTTGATGATTTTTAAGGTTAAGAAGAGTAAACTTTGTTTTGATGATTATTAAGGTTAAGAAAAGTAAACTTTGTTTTGATGATTTTTAAGGTTAAGAAGAGTAAACTTTGTTTTGATAATTTTTAAGGTTAAGAAGAGTAAACTTTGTTTTGATGATTATTAAGGTTAAAAAAGTAAACTTTGTTTTGATGATTTTTAAGGTTAAGAAGAGTAAACTTTGTTTTGATGATTTTTAAGGTTAAGAAGAGTAAATTTTGTTTAAATAATTTTTAAGGTTAAGAAGAGTAAACTTTGTTTTGATGATTTTTAAGGTTAAGAAGAGTAAACTTTGTTTAAATAATTTTTAAGGTTAAGAAGAGTAAACTTTGTTTTGATGATTTTTAAGGTTGAGAAGAGTAAACTTTGTTTTGATGATTTTTAAGGTTAAGAAGAGTAAACTTTGTTTAAATAATTTTTAAGGTTAAGAAGAGTAAACTTTGTTTTAATGATTTTTAAGGTTAAGAAGAGTAAACTTTGTTTTGATGATTTTTAAGGTTAAGAAGAGTAAACTTTGTTTTGATGATTTTTAAGGTTAAGAAGAGTAAACTTTGTTTTGATGATTTTTAAGGTTAAGAAGAGTAAACTTTGTTTTGATGATTTTTAAGGTTAAGAAGAGTAAACTTTGTTTTGATGATTTTTAAGGTTAAGAAAAGTAAACTTTGTTTTGATGATTTTTAAGGTTAAGAAGAGTAAACTTTGTTTTGATGATTTTTAAGGTTAAGAAGAGTAAACTTTGTTTAAATAATTTTTAAGGTTAAGAAGAGTAAACTTTGTTTTGATGATTTTTAAGGTTAAGAAGAGTAAACTTTGTTTTGATGATTTTTAAGGTTAAGAAGAGTAAACTTTGTTTTGATGATTTTTAAGGTTAAGAAGAGTAAACTTTGTTTTGATGATTTTTAAGGTTAAGAAGAGTAAACTTTGTTTTGATAATTTTAAAGGTTAAGAAGAGTAAACTTTGTTTTGATAATTTTTAAGGTTAAGAAGAGTAAACTTTGTTTTGATGATTTTTAAGGTTAAGAAGAGTAAACTTTGTTTTGATGATTTTTAAGGTTAAGAAAAGTAAACTTTGTTTTGATGATTTTTAAGGTTAAGAAGAGTAAACTTTGTTTTGATGATTATTAAGGTTAAGAAAAGTAAACTTTGTTTTGATGATTTTTAAGGTTAAGAAGAGTAAACTTTGTTTTGATGATTTTTAAGGTTAAGAAGAGTAAACTTTGTTTTGATGATTTTTAAGGTTAAGAAGAGTAAACTTTGTTTTGATGATTTTTAAGATTAAGAAAAGTAAACTTTGTTTTGATGATTTTTAAGGTTAAGAAGAGTAAACTTTGTTTTGATGATTTTTAAGGTTAAGAAGAGTAAACTTTGTTTAAATAATTTTTAAGGTTAAGAAGAATAAACTTTGTTTTGATGATTTTTAAGGTTAAGAAGAGTAAACTTTGTTTAAATAATTTTTAAGGTTAAGAAGAGTAAACTTTGTTTTGATGATTTTTAAGGTTAAGAAAGGTAAACTTTGTTTTGATGATTTTTAAGGTTAAGAAGAGTAAACTTTGTTTTGATGATTATTAAGGTTAAGAAAAGTAAACTTTGTTTTGATGATTTTTAAGGTTAAGAAGAGTAAACTTTGTTTTGATAATTTTTAAGGTTAAGAAGAGTAAACTTTGTTTTGATGATTATTAAGGTTAAAAAAGTAAACTTTGTTTTGATGATTTTTAAGGTTAAGAAGAGTAAACTTTGTTTTGATGATTTTTAAGGTTAAGAAGAGTAAATTTTGTTTAAATAATTTTTAAGGTTAAGAAGAGTAAACTTTGTTTTGATGATTTTTAAGGTTAAGAAGAGTAAACTTTGTTTTAATGATTTTTAAGGTTAAGAAGAGTAAACTTTGTTTTGATGATTTTTAAGGTTAAGAAGAGTAAACTTTGTTTTGATAATTTTTAAGGTTAAGAAGAGTAAACTTTGTTTTGATAATTTTTAAGGTTAAGAAGAGTAAACTTTGTTTTGATAATTTTTAAGGTTAAGAAGAGTAAACTTTGTTTTGATGATTTTTAAGGTTAAGAAGAGTAAACTTTGTTTTGATGATTTTTAAGGTTAAGAAGAGTAAACTTTGTTTTGATGATTATTAAGGTTAAGAAAAGTAAACTTTGTTTTGATGATTTTTAAGGTTAAGAAGAGTAAACTTTGTTTTGATGATTTTTAAGGTTAAGAAGAGTAAATTTTGTTTAAATAATTTTTAAGGTTAAGAAGAGTAAACTTTGTTTTGATGATTTTTAAGGTTAAGAAGAGTAAACTTTGTTTAAATAATTTTTAAGGTTAAGAAGAGTAAACTTTGTTTTGATGATTTTTAAGGTTGAGAAGAGTAAACTTTGTTTTGATGATTTTTAAGGTTAAGAAGAGTAAACTTTGTTTAAATAATTTTTAAGGTTAAGAAGAGTAAACTTTGTTTTGATGATTTTTAAGGTTAAGAAGAGTAAACTTTGTTTTGATGATTTTTAAGGTTAAGAAGAGTAAACTTTGTTTTGATGATTTTTAAGGTTAAGAAGAGTAAACTTTGTTTAAATAATTTTTAAGGTTAAGAAGAGTAAACTTTGTTTTGATGATTTTTAAGGTTAAGAAGAGTAAACTTTGTTTTGATGATTTTTAAGGTTAAGAAGAGTAAACTTTGTTTAAATAATTTTTAAGGTTAAGAAGAGTAAACTTTGTTTAAATAATTTTTAAGGTTAAGAAGAGTAAACTTTGTTTTGATGATTTTTAAGGTTAAGAAGAGTAAACTTTGTTTTGATGATTTTTAAGGTTAAGAAGAGTAAACTTTGTTTTGATGATTTTTAAGGTTAAGAAGAGTAAACTTTGTTTTGATGATTTTTAAGGTTAAGAAGAGTAAACTTTGTTTAAATAATTTTTAAGGTTAAGAAGAGTAAACT